TGTACATCCTCCTCCTTTTGTCCCACCGGTGGCTGGGGTATCCCCATATACAGCCCCAGCATCGGTCCAGACCGTTTCCCTGGGCATGCCATTATCAGGAAGGTTCTCAGCAGGTCCTAGTTTGCAGGTTCCTGTACAGACAATGTTCACCCAACCTCAGTCGCAGGTTGCCGTAAGCGTGCAGCCTGCTGTCTCGCAGCCTGCACAGCCGCAGGGCACACAGCCCCAGCAGTTAGTGCAGCAGCCTGCACCACGGGGTCCACAGCCCGGAGTGATGCAGGGATCGAGACAAAGTCAGTGGGTACCAAAGACGGCCATCGCCGCTCCTAAACCCTTCACAGGGGATAAGAGGGGCGAAGACCTCGACACTTGGTTGAGGGCAGTGCCAGTCTATGTCAAGTGCAAACTTACCTTGCCGCACGAGGAAGTGCTTGTGGCTGCCTCCTATTTAGAGGGGAGTGCAGCACGATGGTTGAGTGGTTAAAACAACTCCAGGGGTATGGTCATGACTTTCACGTTTGGGCGGTCCCCCAGAAATTGGATGACTTTCTCAAGTTGGTGGAAGACAGGTGGCACGATCCTCAGGAGGTCCAAAAGGCCACTGACGCGATCTTGACACTGCACACGGGGCAGTTCAAGTCAGTAAGGGAGGCCACTGACGCTGTAGAGCGTCTGATCTGTGTCCCTGGGGTTCGCTATGACCCCCAGGTCTTACTCACCTCCTACCTTAGATGCTTTCCCATGCCCCTCAGGAATCAGTTGGCAGGTGAGGCCAACATCAATATGCACAACTTTCCCTCGTTCAACAAGAAGGTCCTAAACCTAGAGGCGAAGATAGGGCATGGACATAACCCCACGACGAATGGTAGGAAGAAGACACTGCCTCCCAACTAGAAGGCGAAGGGTCGCATTATGTTTGTCGATAACGATGGTTCAACCATCGAGTTAGATGACAACTTCCAGGAAGGAGTAGGTTCAGAGGATGGCAGTGTAGAAGCTTCAGGGGGTGGAGTAGTCGCTGCTGTAGCACAAAAAGGTAAGGCGACCAGTATACGCCGTGGAGGTTCCCGGTCAAGGAGTCAAGTTGACCCCAATGCTCCTCCATGGGAGAAAGCGGGTCTCACTAAGGACGTGTGGAGAGATCGGTACACACGGTGTCCGGACCGGTGGGTCCCGAATAACATCCCGTCACTCGAGAGTGTATATAGCCAATTTGTGCACAATTGAAAAATCTGGAGTAAGGAGACGAGAGAGAGAGAAGACAAGGGACTAGGCCGCCGGAAGGAACGGCTGCCTGGGTTGAGAACCACAGGGGAAAGAACCAGCGACGGCAAGCAAGTAAGCGCGAGGACATGGGCACATAGGGGCGTAGCATGAGGCCAGGAGGGCCACTGGAATTCGGCATGACTAAGGCCGAGGGGCCGTTAACTTGCAAAATGCGGCGGGGCGGACGACGAGAGAATAAGGCAGTCGGGAGGTGGACGGCCCCGGTGACCGTGGGACGCTAGAAAATAAGGGGCCAACATGAAGGCCGCCCATGGCAATTAGCAAGAACCTCGGATTGTAGGCCCCGCGGTCAGAGAAAACCGGAGCGCGCGAGGCCGAGAAAAGACAAGAGAAAGGGGGTCGCCATGGGGTGGCAGACGCCCAAGGAACGTGGGACACCTTGGGGGGAAATGCGCCAGGGGCCACGTGTCACTAAGTAAAAATAATGGTATACGGGACAAAATATGTCGGGGACCGCCGGCGGGACAAAGTGTTGGGGACCGTCGACGGGACAAAGTGTTGGGGACCACGGGCGGGACAAAGTGTCGAGACCGCCGGCGGGACAAGTGGCGGGGACATCAAAAGGCTTCAAGAGAAAACGACGGAGCGACACAAGGGGAAAATAATTAAAACGAGGTGCACCGTCAAGATCGAAGATCCTGACGGCCAAAAATATTCGCACCGCTAGTGCTAGCAAACGAAAAGGCCAAAAGGAAAAGAAAAAGTAAAGAAACTTATAGTGGGAGGTGTGGGACCAAAAAATCTCGGATCAGCCCGCCCTCAAGAAAATGGAGTCAAAAGAGACCCTATCTAAAAAATAGGCCTCCGGGAGAAAATCGGAGAAGGAGGGGCCACTGTGGGGGGAAAATAGAGGTAAAAGGAAGCTCCCATGGGCATGAGGAGGCCTTTATTGCAGTCCGAGATATAACGGACTGCACCTTGGGCATAGGAAGGGCAAAAACTAAGAGGAAGGGCCTAGAAAAGGGCCTTAACGGCCACTTGACACTTGGCATGCTAGAAAAAGAAAGAAAAGAAAAGAAAAATGTGGGAGAATAAGACAAAAAGAGTAAGAGGGAGTGAGTGAGTTGGCCGTCAGTAGGGGCTCCCACAGTAGGGACTGGCATGTCCCTACTATCCAAAAAACGAGGAAAAAGAAAAGAAAAGAAAAGATAAAAGGGCACTAATGACCAAAAACAACAACCTAGGGTGATGCATTTGTGACCAAATTCATTCTGGCATATGTCGGTTACAAAGTGTCTTGATTTTCTCTTGATTTTGCAGAGAAAATCAAGAAAAATCAAGGCCCCATGCAACCGAAATACAACAGATTACATGGGGGAGGAGAAACGCATGTTTTAGGTGCATCCGGAGCCAAAATTGAGCTCGGGTGCACTCGGAAGTTGGTCGTTTCTTTTTCTTTCAGTTGAGGGTTAGATGTGGGGTATTGAGGCTAAGGAATTGACCCCTATTGCAGTCCGAGTTGCAACGGACTGCATGGCGAAGGGAAAACACATGTTTTAAGTGCATAAGGAGCCAATATTGAGCCCGGATGCACTTGGGAATTAAACGCTTCATTTTCTTCTAGTATGGGGCAAGTTCTGGGGCTGTGGTACTAGGAAAATGACCATGAATGCAGTCCGAGAAATAACGGACTGCATGAGGATGCCTAGGTTAAGGGAAAATGAGTCACGGCAAGCCCAAAAGGCTAGAAAAAAGTGATTTCGGCATGGCCCAAGTAGAGACAGTAAACGGCAACCGTGAGATGAGATCTCACGGCCAAGAAAAATCGACACACATATGGCACCTAAGGAAGGGATATTGGAACTACCAAGGGCAAGGAGGTCCCAAAATAAAAATGGGACACCATCCGAGATGTTGCCGGGGACTAAGTGGGCCCAAATAATAATAGTCGAAAAATGGGACACGCGCCGACGGGACTACCGGAGGGACAAGAAAACAGAACTAATACGGAGGGGAATGGCCGGGACTTGAGATGTCCCAAGGGAACCGTGAGTCAACACAAGAAATAATCGCACAAGCAAATGGCATCATCAAGATCGAGGATCTAGACGTTGGAAAATATTAGCACCACTAGTGCAAGCAGTAGTGGGGACGAGTAAGAGATTCATGAGAGAAAAGAAAGTGACATATAATAGTGTTGGGAGGGCTTCCCAGCAGTCCGAGATATCCCGGACTAGCTAGGCATGAGAAAATAGAGCCTCTAGGGGCTCAACATGGGAAAAAGATTGTCCAAGGAAAATCGGAGCAAAGGGGGCTCAAAATTGGGACTAACAAAGGCAAAATTGAGCCCCCTAGGAGCATGGGGGTGCCATTATTGTAATCCGAGCTATAACGACCAACTGATGAGTTTGAATCTGGTCATGGATGAGGATCCATGGCCTAGAAAAAAACTCAACAGCTAGTTGACACTTGTCACATCAAAAATAAAAGAAAAAGAAAAGAAAATGAGAGAAAATGGAGGGAGAATGAGACAAAAGGCGAGAAAAGGGTGGAGGAGAATGTGTCGGCCTATTGGGACTTGCACAGTAGGGACTGGCAGGTCCCCACTGTGACCTCATCCCTCCTAGAATGAGGGAGTGTAATCCGGATTGCAGTGATATGGCCCTTGGGGCCATATCTCCACAAAATCTGAATTCAAGAGAGAAAAATAAGGGAAAATGCAAAAGGGAGATGATCGTTTTTTTTGTGGACTATGGATCTGAGATCAGATCTCATGGCGAAGAGGAACTAGCCGTTTTTTGTGGGCCAGCCCAAAATGAGGTGGCAGCCCAAAATGGAAAGAAACAAAAGAGGGAAAAAGATAAAAATGTGCATTTGGCCCAAAAAGAGAGTCAGATGCACCAAAAGTTGAAAAATTGAACTTGGGAGCCCAAATTTGAAGAAAGGATTACTTGGGGGTAGCTCGGAATATTGTTGGTCCTGGATCTCAACCGGATCCAAGGCAGAAACTGCACCGAGGCATGGGAAAATACCTCGGCCCACTAAAAATGGGGTAGAAACTGAAAAAATCGAGAAAAGGCCCACTAGGTCTTTTTCTCTCAAGTAAGGCTGCCCCTTGGGCACTAGGACCCAAGGGGGCAGCATTTTGGAAATGGAAAAGAGGCGGAACGAGGCAAAGAGGCATTCCGAGTTGGTAGCGGTCACTTGGACTGCATGTACTTGGCCAAAATGAGGGCCAGGTACATCTGGAAGGGCCTAGTGGTGGAATTTTGCCTTGGGGGTACCTCGGTTCACCTCAAGGCACATGGAGAGGCCCATGGGCTGGCCGGACTGCTGGTTTCAGCCTACATAAGTTGGGGATTYAGTCCGCCACACTCACATTTGCATGAGGAGTGCCCATGCTGCCCAAGTGAGCTCATAGGAGCACTTTCCCACTTGGAGAGAGGAGAGGGGAACCCCTACYARTTGGAGAGCTTAGAGGAGACTGTGAGCTRGGAGARAGAGCTCTAGAGGTTAGTGGAGGTGAGGCTGGCCTAGGGAGGTGATCCGCCATAGCCCCCACGGTGTGAGGAAGAGAGACAGGCTAGATGGAGTCTCATTAACCTTTGTAGAGGGAAGGACTCCATAGCCATAGAAGGAGAAGCTTGCCATAGCTTGGGTAGAGTTGRGAGAGGAAGGARAGAGGGGYTTGARGAAGARGAGAGTCATAGSYAARGTGGTACTTGGGCAAGAGAGAAGAAGCTTCATCAAGGTTGGGGCTCCATCTCCAAGACCACAAGGAGGTGAGTGGAAAGGAGGAGATCCTTCTCCTTCTCCTCCTCCTTCTCCTCCTTCTTCTTCTCCTTCTTCTTCTTCTCCTTCTTCCTCGTCCTTCCTCTTCTTCTTCTTCTTCTTCTTCTTCTTCTTTTTCCTCTTCTTCGTTTTTCCCTCCTCCTTCCCCTTCTTCTTCTTCTTCTTCTTCGACCTCTTCTTCCTCTTCTTCTTCTTCTTGTTCTTCTCCTTCTCCTTCTTCCTCTCCTTCTTCTTCTTCTTCTTCTTCTTCTTCTTCTCCTTCCTAGAACCACTGGTCTAGCTCATGCTTTTCACTCACATGGTAGTAGGTGATGTCCCGATTCTTCCTTGGTTGATCTCATGCTTCAAACTTGCGTTTTGATCTAGTTTAACTCATGATTTTCACTCACATAGTAGTAGGTAAAGTTCTGATTCTTCCTTGGTTGATCTCCTGCTTCAAACTTGTGTTTTGATCTAGTCTAGCACATGCTTTTCACTCACATCGTAGTAGGTGATGTCCCAATTCTTCCTTGGTTGATCTCACGCGTCAAACTTGTGTTTTGATCTAGTCTAGCTCATGCTTTTCATTCATATAGTAGATGGTGATGTTCCGATTCTTCCTTGGTTGATCTCATGCTTGAAACTTGTGTTTTGATCTAATCTAGCTCATGTTTTTCATTCATATATTAGATGGTGATGTCCCGATTCTTCATTGGTTGATCTCGTGTTTCAATCTTGTGTTTTGATCTAGTCCAACTCATTCTTTTCACTCACATAGTGGTAGGTGATGTCCCGATTCTTCCTTGGTTGATCTCATGCTTCCAACATGTGTTTTGATCTAGTCTAGCTCATGCTTTTCACTCACGTAGTAGTAGGTGATGTCGCGATTCTTCCTTGGTTGGTCTCACGCTTCAAACTTGTGTTTTGATCTAGTCTAGCTAATGCTTTTCATTCATATAGTAGATGGTGATGTTCCGATTCTTCATTGGTTGATCTCATGCTTCAATCTTGTGTTTTGATCTAGTCGAACTCATGCTTTTCACCCACATGGTAGTAGGTGATGTCCCGATTCTTCCTTGGTTGATCTCATGATTCAAACTTGTGTTTTGATTTAGTCTAACTCGTGCTTTTCACTCACATAGTAGTAGGTGATGTCCCGATTCTTCCTTGGTTGATCTCATGCTTCAAACTTGTGTTTTGATCTAGTCTAGCTCATGCTTTTCACTCACATGGTAGTAGGTGATGTCCCGATTCTTCCTTGGTTGATCTCATGCTTCAAACTTGAATTTGGATCTAGTCTAACTCATGATTTTCACTCACATAGTAGTAGGTGATATCCCGATTCTTCATTGGTTGATCTCATGCCTTAAACTTGTGGTTTGATCTAGTCTAGCTCATGCTTTTCATTCATATGGTAAAAGGTGATGTTCCGATTCTTCCTTGGTTGATCTCATGCTTCAAACTTGTGTTTAATTCTAGTCTAGCGCTTTTCACTCACATCGTAGTAGGTGGGGTTCCGATTCTTCCTTGGTTGATCTCGTGCTTCAATCTTGTGATTTGATCTTGTCTAGCTCATGCTTTTGACTCCTACGGTAATTGGTGATGTTCCAATTCTTCCTTGGTTGATCTCATGCTTCAATCCTGTGTTTTGATCTAGTCTAGCTCATGCTTTTCACTCACATAGTAGTAGGTGATCTCCCGATTCTTCCTTGGTTGATCTCATGCTTCAATCTTGTGTTTTGATCTAGTTTAGCTCATGCTTTCACCCCCATAGTAGTTAGTAGTGTTCTGGTTCTCTCTTGGCTGTTCAACTTCTCATATGTATGTGCCTTCACTCCCCTCTTGTCAAGTTCATACTCTTGGTAGTATTCCGGTCCTCATTTGCCTATTCAACTTCTCATGTGTATGTGATGAAGTTTTGCTGCTGCTGTTCAGTCCGGTTCACCCCATGTGACGTGACACTTTTCATCTAGCTGTTCCGTGACTTGATGTGTATGTGTTGTACGTAGGTTGCTGCAGTTGGTGTTGTTCACCCCATGTGATGTGACAGTTCGCCTCTAGTTGTTCCGTGACTTTATTATGTATGTGCTGTAGGTAGGATGCTGCATTTCAGTCCTATTCACCCCATGTGATGTGACACTCGACCTCTAGCTGTTCCGTGATTTTGCTGTGTATGTGCGGTAGGTAGTTTGTTGTCGATCAGTGTTGTTCACTCCATGTGATGTGACACTCTACCTCTAGCTGTTCCGTGACTTTGCTGTGTATGTGCCGTAGGAAGGTTGCTGCAGTTCACTGTTGTTCACCCCGTGTGATGTGACAGTCTGCCTCTAGCTATTCCGTGACTTTCTTATGTATGTGTTGTAGGTAGGATGCTGCAGTTCAGTCCTATTCACCCCATGTGATGCGACACTCGACCTCTAGCTGTTCCGTGATTTTGCTCTGTATGTGCTGTAGGTAGTTCGCTGCAGTTCAGTGTTGTTCACTCCATGTGATGTCACACTCTACCTCTCGCTGTTCCGTGACTTTGTTGTGTATGTGATGTAGGAATGTTGCTGCAGTTCAGTGTTGTTCACGCCATGTGATGTGATAGTCTGCCTCTAGCTGTTCCGTGACTTTGTTATGTATATGTTGTAGGTAGGATGTTGCAGTTCAGTCCTATTCACCCCATGTGATGTGACACTCGACCTCTAGCTGTTCCGTGATTTTGCTGTGTATCTGTTCCGTGACTTTGTTATGTATGTGTTGTAGGTAGGATACTGCAGTTCAGTCCTATTCACCCCATGTGATATGACACTCGACCTCTAGTTGTTCCGTGATTTTGTTATGTATGTGCTGTATGTAGTTTGTTGCAGTTCAGTGTTGTTCACGCCATGTGATGTGACACTCTACCTCTAGCTGATCCGTGATTTTGCTGTATATGTGCTGTAGGTAGTTTGCTGCAGTTCAGTCCTGTTCACCCCATGTAACATGACACTCTACCCCTAGCTGTTCCATGACTTGTGCATGTGTGTGTTGTAGGTAGGGTGCTGCAGTCCAGTCATGTTCACCCCATGTGATGTGACACTCTACCTCTAGCTGTTTCGTGACTTTGCTGTGCATGTGTTGTGGGTAGTTTGCTGCAGTTCAGTGTTGTTCACCCCATGTGATGTGATAGTCTGCCTCTAGCTGTTCCGTGACTTTGTTATGTATGTGATGTAGGTAGGTTGCTGCTGTTCAGTCCTAACTTCACTGTGTGATGTGACAGTCCATCCCTAGCTGTTCCATGACTTGTGCGTGTATGTGCTGTAGGTAGGTTGTTGCAGTTCAGTCATGTTCAACCCATGTAATGTGACACTCTACCTCTAGCTGTTCCGTGACTTTGTTGTGCATGCGCTGTAGGTAGTTTGCTGCAGTTCAGTTTTGTTCACCCAATGCGATGTGACAGTCTGCCTCAAGTTGTTCGGTAACTTTGTTATGTATGTGTTGTAGGAAGTTTGTTGCAGTTCAGTCCTGTTCACCCCATGTGATGTAACAGTCTGCCTCTAGCTATTACGTGACCTTGTTATGTATGTGCTGTAGGTAGTTTGTTGCAGTTCAGTGCTGTTCACTCCATGTGATGTGACACTCTACCTCTAGCTGTTCCGTGACTTTGTTGTGTATGTGTTGTAGGTAGTTTGCTGCAGTTCAGTGTTGTTCACCCCATGTGATGTGACACTCTACCTCTAGCTTGTCCGTGACTTTGCTGTGTATGTGCAGTAGGTAGTTTGCTGCAGTTAAGTGTTGTTCACCCCATGTGATGTGACAGTTCGCCTCTAGCTGTTCCGTGACTTTGTTATGTATTTGCTGTAGGTAGGTTGTTGTTGTTCAGTCCTAACTTCACTGTGTTGTGACAGTCCATCCCTAGCTATGCCGTGACTTGTGCATGTGTGTGTTGTAGGTAGGTTGTTGCTGTTCAGTCCCAACTTCACTGCGTGGTGTGACAGTCCACCCCTAGCTGTTCCGTGACTTGTGCATGTATGTGTTGTAAGGTAGGTTGCTGCTGTTCAGTCCTAACGTCACTGTGTGATGTGACAGTCCATCCCTGGCTGTTCCGTGACTTGTGCATGTGTGTGCTGTAGGTAGGTTGCTGTTGTTCAGTCCCAACTTCACTGCATGATGTGACAGTCCATCCCTAGCTGTTCCGTGACTCATGTGTGTGTTTGTTATAGGTAGGTTGTTGTTGTTCAGTCCTAACTTCACTGTGTGGAGTGACAGTCCACCCCTAGCTGTTCCGTGATTTGTGTATGTGTGTGCTGTAGGTAGGTTGCTGTTGTTCAGTCCCAACTTCGCTGTGTGATGTGTCAGTCTACCTCTAGCTGTTCCGTGACTTTGCAATGTATGTGTTGTAGGTAGGTTGTTGCAGTTCAGTCCTGTTCACCCCATGTGATGTGACACTCTACCTGTAGCTGTTTCGTGACTTTGTTGTGTATGTGTTGTAGGTAGTTGGCTGCAGTTCAGTGCTGTTCACCCCATGTGATGTGAGAGTCTGCCTCTAGCTGTTCCGTGACTTTGTTATTTGTGTGTTGTAGGTAGTTTGTTGCAGTTCAGTCATGCTCACCCCATGTGATGTGACATTCTGCCTCTAGCTGTTGCGTGACTTTGTTATGTATGTGTTGTAGGTGGTTTGTTGCAGTTCAGTTCTGTTCTCTCCATGTGATGGGACACTCAACTCCAAGCTGTTTCGTGACTCTGTTATGTATGTGCTGTAGGTAATGCGGGAGTGTAGTCTTTTCGTGCTTGGTGAAATGTTGATTCTCCCTGATTGCCTGCTTAGCATCACACCTGTGCGTGTTCTAGGTTAGATTGCGGAGTTCAGTCTTCCCTTACTCTGTAGTGGGCCGGCTCCATACTTGTACGAAGGGGCGGTAGGTCAAAGTGGGGGTAGCGCTTGATTAGGATTAGGGGGCTCCCTCTCTCTCTCTCTCTCTCTCTCTCTCTCTCTCTCTCTCTCTCTCTCTCTCTCTCTCTCTCTCGCCTTGTCACCTTCCCGCTCTCGTTCTCTCTTCTCGGCATGTAACGAACCCCGCTCCTCACCTGCTACATTGCCAGGGAACGAACCGCGAAAAGGAATCAGCTTCACTTGGTGGAAAAAGAGGACAAGGGGGAGGCTGCTGGTCCCTTGTGCCACCAAGAAGGGAAAGGAGGTGAAGAGGCATCGGAGAGATTGAGACAAAACCGGAAATGGATTGAAAGGAGTACGTTTGAAAGGACCAGGTCAGTTGACTCAACCAGAACCCAGACCGCATGACTATGAAAAGAAGAGAGCTTGGTTGT